AATTTAGCAGGATTCCTGTTAAAAATTGGGCGATACAAAGACAGTAGGTACCCCAGTTCTGGCCAGGTTGGGAAGAGGATTGAGCAGAGCAGGACTAAAGCAGGACAAGGGGAGACTGCCACAGAGACAAAGGAAAGGCTTCTCAGAAGTAGGCTGGGTTCCGTTAGCAGCAGGTGGGTTCTGGTGAGAAGGGCGCGATCCCGACCGGTTCAAAGCGGAGGCCCTGGGGGCGGGTCTGCCCGTGGGCGGCGGCCTCCAAGCCTCCACGTGTGAGGCGGCCGACCTCTCTGGGCTTGGCCAGCTGGGCCTGCCCCGCGCGCCTTCGGGTGGAGGGGAGAGTCGGTCCCGCCCCTCGGTGGGCGCCTCCCCGCCCTGCTTGGGTCTATGGAGAAAAACTTGCCTGCCGGATCCGCGATTCCCATGGCCGCTGCAGCCGCCTGTGGCCCCAAGGCCATGTCCCTTTTCAAGCGAACTTTGGTGCTGAGCCCCGCCGCGGCGCCCAGAGGCCCGGGAGCTGGCACTTCTCCGCGGGGCTGCCCTTTATCTCCCACAGCCTGGCCCCAGAAGGACTGGCCGCTGGGAGAGGGCGTCTGCGGCAGGCTGTGGAGCCCGACCGCTGCCCGCCTGCCGGACTCCCGCTCCTGCTCCTGCTCCTGCGCCTACTCCTCCACCTCGTCTACCGTCGCGTGTCTTCTCTGCCCGCAGGACTCGCTCAGCAGCAGCCTGAAAACTTGCTACCAGTATCTAAATCAGACCAGTCGCAGTTTCGCAGCTGTTATCCAGGCCCTAGACACCGAAATTCGGTAAGTGGCAGAAGCAGCCCCTCTGACTTGGAGCGCGTTCCCTACCCTGGTGATGTCTTTAGCCATTCCAAGCTCTTTTTTGACATAGCAGTTAGAGCTGCGGTCTGGTCGCCCAGTTTGCAGCTTAGGCAGAATGTAGCCTCTCCCGAGTGAAGGAAATGTTCCAGCTGAAATGTCCATGTGTTTACTTTCGAATGCCCTTGCAGGCTCCTGTCCATCTAAGTGCGTCCCTGCCAGCCCAGCTCTTTCAGAGAAGCAGGGAGGTGGGGGATGGTGATGTTTATTAACTTTTTTTAGTCTTGGCAGCTGAACCTGTCTCTGAGCAGGGCATGTCTTCCTCTTGGTATCTTCTACACTACCTTGCACTTCTACCTTATTGAGTTAATTCCTCTAAAGCTACTGCCTCTTGTGTGCAGATTACACACACGAACTTACACCATTTTTGCCTGTATGTATGATAATATTTATACTGAGAATTGTGTATTTTGATTGTCTTTTCTTTTTTGCAAAATACTGATTTGGTCTAAACATTTGACCTATTGGTCATTGTGCAGTTTTACCTTAGTTAAATGTAATGCATTCTGAGAATGGCAGTGGCATCCAGTTGGTAGGGTTTTTTTTTGGTTCGTTTATTTGCTTTCTTCTTGTAAATAAACACTAGAAGTCCATTAGTCCTAATCTGAGTTTCATCAAGTATGAAAAGCCTTGTATATCTTTTTATACTTTTGTAGAATTACAAATGGCCTAAGTCCACATGAAATGTTCTTTAAAAATAAATCTTGGGATGTTTGTTCCAATATATTAATAGTTTTTCTCTTTATCAGTCACGCAGTATGCATATTTTATCTGGTTCTCCGAGCTCTGGACACTCTGGAAGATGACATGACCATCAGCATGGAAAAAAAGGTCCCGCTGTTACACAACTTCCACT